CAGCACGAAGTAAGTAAGACGTAGGGTCCGGTCCGTCAGCAAGAGAGGACGCAGGAGGAGACGGTAGGGGGACAAGCTGTGGAACAGAGGAAGGATGAAGTGCCATATGGTGCGTGCCGGCGACAGGAGGAGGACGGTGACGCGGAGCACGACGACCAGTGCGGACCAGTGCGAACACGAGAGGCAGGACGAGACGTAGGCTCACGACGCTCTGTAAGGGAGTCTGGCTGCTCAGTGTATGGAGAAGGAGCAGGCAGTGGGGAGTCTGGCTGTAGATGTGGTTGCGACTGGTCAGGCGGTGGACACAGCAAGGGAGGAGTAAGGCCAGTAGAAGACTGGAGACTAAGAACCTGGCAAAGTGCCGAGCCAGGTGGCGGCAGAGACAATGGCGATGGCGGAACGAAAAATAGTCGCCGCTGCACAGTGCCTCCAGCACCAGTACCGACAGCTCCAGCACCCCCAGCGCTAGCACCTCCAGCTCCAGGGCCTCCAGCTCCAGCGCCTCCAGCTCCAGCGCCTCCAGCTCTAGTGATTCCAGCTCCAGCGCCTCCAGCACCTCCAGCACCTCCAGCACATCCAGCACCTCCGGCACCAGCAGCACCACCAGCTCCAACAGCTCCAGTACCACCAGTACGAGCACCTCCGGGACAAGTAGCTCCAGCACCTCCAGCACCTCCAGCAGCAGCACCACCACGAGCTCCAGCAGCTCCAGTACCTCCAGTGTGAGCACCTTCGGGACCAGCAATCCCAGCACCTCCAGCAGCAGCACCACCAGCTCCAGCAGCTTCAGTACCACCAGTTCGAGCACCTCCACGACCAGCAGCTCCAGCACCTCCAGCACCTCCAGCAGCAGCACCACCACCAGCTCCAGCAGCTTCAGTACCTCCTGTATGAGCACCTCCGGGACCAGCAGCTCCGGGGCCTCCAGCTCCAGCATCGCCACTCCGAGGGCTACAGCGCCGAGCGTACCACTCGCACAACTGCTGTGGTGAGAGAGGCTCCCGTAGTGTAGACGCATGAACCCTAGGCTCAGCACCCCCGCGCTCAGCACCCCCAGTCTCCGCACGCTCAGACGCAACACCCCCGGGCTCCGCACTCACTGGCTCAGCACCTCCAGGCTCCGCATGCTCAGGCTCAGCACCCCCAGACTCCACACGCTCAGGCTCCGCAACCGCAGGCTCAGCACCCCTAGACGCAGCACCCCTATTAGCACCAGAGTTTGACAGTAGTGTGTAGGAGGAAAAGGAGGACCAAGTAGACGAAGACCACCCATAGATGGTGACAACGCTTGCGGTTGTGACTACTACTGCTGCTGCTATGGCTGTTGTTGTTGCTGCTGCTACGGCTCATGCGGCTACTACTGTCGCTGCTGCTGCTGCTGCTGCTGCTGCTGCTTCAGAAGCTGGAATATCGTCGCTCGATGTGGTACCACCAGGGCAGGCACTCCAACGGTAGCACCCCCAGAACCAGTACCCCCAGCAACAACTCCCCAAGAGCCAGCACCTCCAGCGTCAACACCCCCAAAACCAGCTCATTCAGTGACAGCACCTCAAGAACCAGCCCCTCCAGTGTCATCACCCCTGGAGCCAGCACCTCCAGCGTCAGCACCCTCAGAAACAGCAGCTCCACCATTCGCACCCCTAGAGTCTACTGCGACCTGCCGCGGTAGCATTGTAGGCTGCTGTGGTGACTGTGGGGACAACCTAGGGGACTATGGAGAAGGAGGCGACACAGGAGGTGCAACTGAGGGAGGAGGGGTGGTGCGAGACTCACCAAACAGGGCAGGACTCAAGTGGGGGGGGACTACTGAAGGAGGGGGGGGGGGGGAACCGAGGTACCGCGGTGGGTACAGCGTATGTGGAAGGAAACTGGCTTGTCAAAACTTACGTCGTGAGAGTTGAAGAAACCGGTGGGTGGAAGGGTGGTAGAACAAACAGTCAGTAGCGTCAACCGGGAAACGAAGTAAGACATAGGGGAAGGTGCAACTGGGAAAAAGTTTGCTGCTGCTGCTCCTACTCCGCTGCTCCAGCTGCCGTAGATGCTGAAACTTCGCCAGGCAGTCAGAGCAGGCGTTGTAGATTCAGCGCCTCCAGCTCTAGCACCCCCAGAACCAGCATCTAGAGTGCTAGCGCGTCCAGCGCCAGCACCCCCAGTGTCAGAACCTCTACATTCTGACAGTTAATTCAACAAAAAATATATATAATAAATGCTTCTGACAAAAATACCGTATCTGTTAGGTTATTGGAAACACCAAAGGCAGTCTTGAAATGAGATGTACTTTATGACCATTACGAAAAGGAATTGATATGTATAATGGCACAACTTGCAAACAGGGCCAAAAAACAAGGAACCAGGCAGAGTGCCTGATAAAAATAGCCCCATAAAAAAACATAATGAGATTCTCGAAACAGAAACATATGTACACCTTCCGCGAATTTGTGCGAGTAGCACTTTCAAATCAACAGCTTCACCACTCCACACCACAGTTCGAGCCTTGCTCGAACGATGCCCACCGTGTAAGGCGGTCTGAGGTTGAACCATGATGGTTCATGGCCCGACCGCCATGGCTGCTGCTACGGCGGCTTCTGCCACGCCCTTTCTGACTGCCCATCTTCGGCACTGAATGCGCGCGGGTGGCTGTGCTGAGATGTGACGCGATTGGCCTTTCTCTGCCCAACTCCCTCGAGTCATGTCGCCAATCGTCATCGTCGCTCTCGCCTTCCTTTGAGAACGACTGTAACATGGTAACAAATTGTTCGCATCGAATCGCATTGAGTTCCCGCTGTGCGTCCAGAAACGAGATCCGACCTTCCAGCGCGAGCAGATCGAGATCCGCGCGGCTGTCATGCAGGCGTCGTAAGGAAGGAATGTCATCCTTTTGAGACATGGCCAGAACAGCAGGTGATTGCTGAGAAGACATGGCACGCTGAGATTCGACCATCACGTCGATACTGCTCCCCATGTTTGACTCTGTTAGAGCAACTGAGTGTGCTTCGTGTATCTTGGAATCGTGAAACACAGTCGAACGACGATTCAAGCTTATCAAACTCCGAGACACTGAAATGCTGGTCGACGAACGTCTCTTATTCCCATCTGGAATAGCTCCTCATTCGGCCCAACCTGGATGGACACGACCATCAAGTCATGTCGTGACGAGACTGGCTACTGGTAATTGCATCAAGGGTATCCTGAGTTCGCACGGCGTAGAAGCATTCTGTTGCAAATCCCGCTTCGACGCTGAAGGAAAATCGTAGATCGCGGAGCGATGAGCCTGACGGTTCGACTAAACTTCGAGAAGGTCGTACCTTAGGCAAGCAGCAGGGACAAATCCCATGAAGTTGCGTAGGAACATTACCGTATGGATCGGTTCAGTATCGGCCTCAATCAATGGATCCTCCCACGTCAGCACCAACCCGAAACCGTCAGCAAGGGCTCTTGGAGCGTAAATATTGGAGCAAGGGCTCTTGGAGCGTAATTAGGTTTTACGGAACTGGTGGGGTCTCGAAACATAACTTTGCTTAGAGTTCGGTTTAGGAACCAGTTTCGAAGCACCGAGAACCGGAATTAAGGATTGTCACCCTAGGTTTCAAAGGAGGAATACCAGCAGATATTTTTCCCAAGGAACACGACTGCGTCCCATCTACTCCCCACGTGGTGCGCCCATATCAATCTTCCCTCGTCGGCCATCTTCGTCGCCATAGCCTAGTACCCCATTGGCCCCATCGTCTTGTTGAACGAGGATATTGAGGAAACGGAGTGTGGTTCGGGATTCATGGCTTGTCGGAGAGCGCGAAGTCTTTACCCCGTCAAATATCCACGGCTCTGGATTAGCTGCATACGTGATTCGTCAGTTATCCAGCCTGGCATCGTCAAGAAGACTCTTCCAGAATGCATTTTACAGCAAGGCAGTCCAAGGCACGATATTCACCGCATCAGTCACGACTTTCTTGCACGGCTCACTCATAACTTCACCATCTAGGCAGACACAATCGAGGTCATGGCAAGCTGCGGCCTCATGTGAGCGGGGCGGCTCCCACCAGCAACTCGAGGAAGGCACTTTCTTCACTCAACAGAGCGTCTTTCCCGGCGACCAGATCACCCTCGGCAGCACTGCACGGCCCTCCAAGCAAACAGCGCGCTCCAACCAACCCAGAGGCTTGCTGCGAATTGAATCCGATCGTAGCTTCGCAGCTCAGCTGCCCCCAAAACGTCAGAGCCACAGGCGACCTCGCGCGGATCAAATGCGAGAAGCGGATTCAACCAGAGAGACCACGTCCCCGATGGCCCACTGGGAATGATTCGATTTGAATGTATCAGAAATAACAGAATAGAATATATACTGTCAGACCGCTAAAGGCAATCCTTTCCAATCCAAACCAAATTGAAAGCCAGGCATTGAAGCATGCCTGCCAGCATTCCAACGCCTTGAACAAAATTGGCCATATTCCTGCACTGGTCAAAGATATCTCACAACTCATCCCCAACTTAGTGGGATCAAACCAGAGAACCTTTGTTATTTGGTATGTAATTGCCAACGGTATAAAAATATCGAATTATGCAATTCTTCACAAAGGGAAACTCGATCATAGGAAGTTGTAGTGTGTCAGCGCATCATTCAATTCGTGCAATCACTCACTAGGGACCGTCCGTACGTTGCAAATGCAAATGCTACATTGCATCAATCTCATGTCATGCTGCTACCATCTAACCCCCTGATGGTAAGTGGAAAACCAAAAGGATAGCATTGCTGGAAGGTAAACATACATAAATCCCTTTCATTGATCTTTCTTTTGCCGGTTGGATGGAGGAATGAGAGGAGGAAGCAAGGCGGAGAGCAGGAGAGGCAGGATGGAGCCAAAGAAGTAGAGAGAGCGCCACACTCTGAATGTGAAGTCCGCCCGCAGGAGCTGCACGCACACACACAGACACAGACACAGACACAGACACACACACAGACACAGACACACACACACACACACACACCCACACGAGGAGAGGACATGGTGAGGGGCAGACACAGGCTGCATTGTAACCGACGAGTACATTCCAACCTGGCACCGATGGTCCCCATCCAGGGAAAGAGGGTTGTCATTGAACTAGGCTCGGTGGCACCGTGTGCCGCATGCAAGGCATGCTGGGGGATGAAGAGCCTGTTGGCATGGGGGAGCCTGTTGGCATGGGGGAGCCTGTTGGCATGGGGGAGCCTGTTGGCATGGGGGAGCCTGTTGGCATGGGGGAGCCTGTTGGCATGGGGGAGCCTGTTGGCATGGGGGAGCCTGTTGGCATGGGGGAGCCTGTTGGCATGGGGGAGCCTGTTGGCATGGGGGAGCCTGTTGGCATGGGGGAGCCTGTTGGCATGGGGGAGCCTGTTGGCATGGGGGAGCCTGTTGGCATGGGGGAGCCTGTTGGCATGGGGGAGCCTGTTGGCATGGGGGAGCCTGTTGGCATGGGGGAGCCTGTTGGCATGGGGGAGCCTGTTGGCATGGGGGAGCCTGTTGGCATGGGGGAGCCTGTTGGCATGGGGGAGCCTGTTGGCATGGGGGAGCCTGTTGGCATGGGGGAGCCTGTTGGCATGGGGGAGCCTGTTGGCATGGGGGAGCCTGTTGGCATGGGGGAGCCTGTTGGCATGGGGGAGCCTGTGGCATTGGGGAGCCGTAAATGAGATGCTTTCGGCTCACCTACCAATGGCCGACCACACCCAGCAGGCACAGGCCTGACAGCGAGCTTAACAAGCCAGCATGCCTGCAGTCACAACCGATGCACTTCCCACTCAAAGAAATCTTATGACCTTACAATGGAGCCAGAACAGTCACAGTGTGTTAGTAGCACAGCACTCGCAATGAATCCAGGGGGGCCGCATTTGGAATCACTTGCATTGAAGCCCGGTGGCGTGCACCCCATGAGCACACACAACGCTCCCGAGCAGGCCGCACATGTTTGTCCAGCAGTGTGTAGCACAACATGAAAAGCGCATGAGATGATGCCGGCACACGGAATAGCAGCACTCACAATGAAGCCCAGTGGAGCATACCCCACGACGAGCACACAAAACACTTTCAACCACGCCACTCCCAAGCACGCCACATGTGTGTGTACAGCATGCCGGCACATGGAATAGCAGTACTCACAATGAAGCCCAGCGGCGCATACCCCACGAGCACACGTGTGTAGAGCATCTGTGCCACCCATGCCATGCCGCGCTGCCACCGCCTGTGAGGGGGGATGGACTGGTGCAGGCGGTGCAGCACTGCAGGCGCGCAGAGGGGGATGGGAGAGACGAGGGGGAGAGAGGAGGGGTGAGAGGGGCGAGTGGGGAGGAGCTGAAGAGAAGGAGCTAGGGCGAAGTTTCGAGGGGAGAGGGAGGAAGAGCAGAAAGGAAGGTAAGGAAATGTGAAGCACAAGGCACGGATGCAAGGCATGGGATGGGATGTGCACGAAAGAATGGGAGGTGCGAGGGATGACGTAAGGACATGAGGCGGAAGGAGTGATGGGCGGTTAGGAACTTACATTTGGAGGCGTCTTGAGCGATGGCGGCTGAGAGGAAGAAGAGGTAGTAGCCTGGATGTAGGCCCTGTTGTTCATGGATGCACAGTGCATCGGCCCCACGCACATGGCACGGTGTCATGAGAGAGGTTATGCAGTCCGTGTGTATATCCATCCATGTATAAATTCAACCATCCATGCATGTGCACGCATTGACACACATTGACACACATACACAACATAGATACACACGTCATCATACGTGGATACATGCATGGTCATGTGAACTCATTCACAAATAAATACGCATCACAAAGGGGAGGGAGCAGAGGAATAAACACGGGGAGGAAGACCTATGGACTGGGATAATAAGTTGGATACTTGAATGGATGGATGGATGGATGGATGGATGGATGGATGGATGGATGGATGGATGGATGGATGGATGGATGGATGGATGGATGGATGGATGGATGGATGGATGGATGGATGGATGGATGGATGGATGGATGGATGGATGGATGGATGGACGGACGGACGGATGGATGGATGGATGGATGGATGGATGGATGGATGGATGGACGGATGGACGGATGGATGGATGGATGGATGGATGGATGGATGGATGGATGGATGGATGGGATGGATGGATGGATGGATGGATCGGATGGATGGATGGATGGATGGATGGATCATGGATGGATGGGATGGATGGATGGATGGATGGATCATGGATGGATGGGATGGATAGTCTGGTAAAACATAAGCAAAGCTCTCACATGCCCACATGTCCACAGCTCACATGCCACATGCCATGAGTCACATGCCACATGCCATGACTCACATGCCACATGGCATAACTCACATGCCACATGCCATAACTCGCATGCCACATGCCATGACTCACATGACACATGCCATGACTCACATGCCACAGCGCGCTGACAGCTTGTGTCACAAGGAGAGTTGTCAGGTTGGGCTTTCCTGATGGGGGGGTCATGCGGTCATACACATCTACATGCACACACATGCACATGCACGCACGCACAGGCGCATGTGAGTGCATGTCAACCTGCATGTGAGTGCATGCCAACATGCATGTGAGTGCATGCCAACCTGCATGTGAGTGCATGCCAACCTGCATGTGAGTGCATGCCAACCTGCATGTGAGTGCATGCCCACATGCATGTGAGTGCATGCCAACCTGCATGTGAGTGCATGCCAACCTGCATGTGAGTGCATGCCAACATGCATGTGAGTGCATGCCAACCTGCATGTGAGTGCATGCCAACCTGCATGTGAGTGCATGCCAACCTGCATGTGAGTGCATGCCAACCTGCATGTGAGTGCATGCCAACCTGCATGTGAGTGCATGCCAACCTGCATGTGAGTGCATGCCAACCTGCATGTGAGTGCATGCCAACCTGCATGTGAGTGCATGCCAACCTGCATGTGGGTGCATGCCAACCTGCATGTGAGTGCATTCATACCTCTCATCCACGGACCTTACTGCTGCTCAATGCTCTAAATGCTGTGGCACTGCAAGGACCGCTTGTGTGGGAGAAAGCAAGGGTAGCGAGGAGGGGAGAGAGAGGGTAGAGTAGGAGGATACGGGGAGCGAGGAGAGGGGAGGAAAGGGGAGCGGAGAGGAGTGGAGGGGAGGAGAGGGGAGGGGAGGGGAGGGGAGGGGAGGGGAGGGGAGGGGAGGGGAGGGGAGGGGAGGGGAGGGGAGGGGAGGGGAGGGGAGGGGAGGGGAGGGGAGGGGAGGGGAGGGGAGGGGAGGGGAGGGGAGGGGAGGGGAGGGGAGGGGAGGGGAGGGGAGGGGAGGGGACGCACAGGTGCGCAGCCAGTTGCTGACCCCGATGTTCCAGTTTGATGGCAGCTGTGCCGCACTGCCCGTGACCTCCACCACCCATATGTTCACGTTGCTCGCCCTGCTCCTGTGAGGTGCACAGTGAGGGGGGGGACATGGGAACACGGGGGCATGGCAGCCCATTGCACAGAAAAGCACGAGAGGAGAGCGGGTGGGAGTGTGGTGCGGACAGACAGACGTTGGTCCCAACGTTGGTGTCGCACCAGCCAGTCCAGATAGGCGACGTGCGACGAGCTGCACATGCGGAGTCCAGGTGATAAAACATGCGAGAGACGTCTCAAAACATGCGAGTCCAGCTGGTGCAGCATGCGAGCACAGCGAGTCAACGCCACTTGCCGTCCACAGCTGTGCGGCTGTGCCGCCGTGAGAGCATGGGCAAGTGGGGTGAGGCGGGGTGAGCGCGAATCACAACAAGAGCTCGGATCGAAAGGGGAGAGCGAGGGCATGCTGGAGCATGGGTTATGGGAAGGCGATGAGGCCGTGGCAAGGGCTTACAGTGCAATGAGGGAAAGGGGAGGTACGCAAGAAGGGAGGGGGAACGAGGCAAGGAGGAAGGGAGTGACAGGGAGCAAAGTTGGCAGGCAGGCAAGGAGAGAGAGGGAGCACGTGGAGAGGTGCAGGTGGTAGGAACCTCCCAAGATTTGGCAGACGGGCCGAGACAGCACATGGAAGGTGAGGTCGCTTCATCCTATTCCAACTGATGCCCTGCTACCATCCGACGTGCAATCAACATCAACTTACCAGTCCGCTTCCAGCCGCTGCTGCTTCTGCCCGCCTTCTCCTTCCCTCGCCTCCCCATCACCCTCCCTGTGGCTGGGAGCTGCTGCCTTAAATCCCGAGAAGCCAAAAGCGGAGAGGATGAGGGCGGATTCAGCGACGGCCCAGATGAAGTAGAACATCCAGCGGTACGCCAGGAGGGTGAGCGCCACCTGGCCGCACCTGCGCAGTGTGCACACGGTGAGAGGGGGATAGGTGAGAGGGGGATAGGTGAGAGGGGGATAGGTGAGAGGGGATAGGTGAGAGGGGGATAGGTGAGAGGGGGATAGGTGAGAGGGGGATAGGTGAGAGGGGGATAGGTGAGAGGGGGATAGGTGAGAATGTCAAGAGACGCCCCAAGTGCAGGTGACCATCCAACAGTCGGCTGGGCGGGTTACGACCACCTTCCCCCACCTATGCTATGGCGGGTTACCACCACCTTCCCCCACCTATGCTATGGCGGGTTGTGGGTGGGCGGCATGGCGGCACATGGGATGGGAGGGGGGCCGGGGCAGACGATGAAGATGAGCACGCGGAATGAGGTGAGGTGGGGAGAGGGCGGTGGGTGGGGAGAGGGCAGGGGGAGGAGAGAGGGCAGGGGGAGGAGAGAGGGCAGGGGGAGGAGAGAGGGCAGGGGGAGGGGAGAGGGCAGGGGGAGGGGAGAGGGCAGGGGGAGGGGAGAGGGCAGGGGGAGGGGCAGCTCACCTGATGAGGAAGGGGCGGGCGAAGAAGGCAGGCTGGGTGAGCGCGGCGGGCGGGAGGAGGTGAGAGAGGGTGTGGTAGACGGCCATGCAGAGCAGCGCCTTGAGCAGTGCGGCGCATGCCGGCAGCACACGCGGAGGGAAGGCGGGGGAGTGTGGTGCAGATGGATGCTTGTGCGCGTAGAGCGTGGCCCAGCACTGCCAGAGGGGTGCAGAGGGGTGAGGGGCGATGGAGAGGGGAACAAAGATGAGGAATGCAGAGGGGGAACAAAGAGGGGGGATGGGAAGGAGGAATTGGGGATGGGGGGGAGGAATTGGGGATGGGAGGGGGAATTGGGGATGGGGGGGGGGGAGAATTGGGGATGGGGGTGAGGAATTTGGGATGGGGGAGAGGAATTGGGGATTGGGGGGAGAAATTGGGGATGGGGGGAGGAATTGGGGATGGGGGGGAGGAATTGGGGATGGGGGGGGGGGAATGGAGGCACCGTTTTATGTTGTGAGAGGATGTCATGGTAAAGCGTGTTAAGGAGAAACAGCGCGAGTGATCCACACACTTCCTCGCACCCCTCCCACCTCTCACACCCCTCCCAGTCCTTCCCCCTCCTCACCCTCTCCTGCACTCATCCCCACCACCCCCCCCCCCACTCCTCACCCCTTTTCCTTCAACGTAGTCGTGGTAAGCGGCGAGGGGGAAGGGCGGCACCACGGGGAACGGAGCCCTCCCAACGTCTCCATCCCTCTGACCCCTCACACCTCGCCCACCCCTCCCACCCCCCTCCCCCACCTCACCCCTCTGCCCTCAACGTAGTCGTGGTAAGCGGCGAGGGGGAAGGGCGGCACCACGGGGAAGGGAGCCCTCCCAACGTCTCCATCCCTCTGACCCCTCACACCTCGCCCACCCCTCCCACCCCCCTCCCCCACCTCACCCCTCTGCCCTCAACGTAGTCGTGGTAAGCGGCGAGGGGGAAGGGCGGGCCCACGAGCAGCGCGGCGGGGAAGAAGACGAACCCCAGGAACGGCACCAGCGGGGGCACGCGGGAGCGCGCGCTGGGGGAGGCGCTGCTGGCGCGCTGAGGGAGGGGTTGAGACGGGGGGAAAGGTGGGGTGGCAGGATGGGGCCCCACGGGCAGGGTGGCGGGGAAGGAGATGATGCCCAGGAACGGCTGCAGGAGCGGCAGCAGGAACGGCAGCAGGAACGGCAGCAGGAACGGCAGCAGGGGGCGCGTTGGGTTGGGGGAGGCGCTGCTGGCGCGCTGGGGGTGGGGCGGGGAAAGTCAACGGGGGGAGGGGACGGGGGAGGGGCGAGGAGGTAGGTAGGGGTAGAGGGAGGATGAGATGAGGGGTGAAGGGGGAGGTGGGAAGAAAGCGTGTGGGTGGGGATGGGGAGAATGCAGTTGTAACTGCTGCTGTTTCCACTCCTGCTAACAGTTTGGCACATTCTTTATTGTTGCTATGGAGACCTGAAGCTCAAGGAGACTTCACCCGTTGGTGCCAACTAGGTGGTTTGTGGACTTTTGTAGCATTTCATGATGCTTTTGCTCTAATCGGATTTATGTTGCATCAGTTTGAAATTGCTAGATCTGTAGGATTACGTCCTTACAACGCGCAGAGGGCGTGTGGTTGGGAAGGGCAAAGCGCGAAGAGGGCGGGTAACAAGGAGAGATTTTTACCGAATGTGAAAATGAGGATGCAATGAAATATTGCATGGAATGTCATACGAGGTTGCTATGCCATGCCATGCCGTTCCATGTCATGCCATGCCATGCCATGTCACACCATGTCACACCATACCACACCACACCATGTCACACCATGTCACACCATGTCACACCATGTCACACCATGTCACACCATACCACGCCACACCATGCCACACGATGCTATGCATACGGTGTTGGAAGTCCATGGTGCCAGGAGCTTCAGAATGAGCACAAATGACAAAGACTCAATCGCATAGGCATCAGCGCAGGCATCAGCGCAGGCATCAGCGCAGGCATCTCTCAGAACGAATCTCAGACCGTACTGGTGGGCCGCCATCCTGTTTCTCCCTGCCGTCCTGCCGCTCCCTGCCGTCCTGCTGGCCCATGCTGCCGTCCTGGCAGTCCATGGCGGCCCCCACGAGCTTGAGAGTGACGATCATGAGTGTGCCCGTGAAGTCGATGTCTCCCCTCCTCCACGCACTCGCATCTAGGCTCGTCGCATGGCTGGTGGGAGGAGGGGTATGAGAAGATGGTGGCATGGGGGGTATGGGGGGACGAGGGATGGGAGCATGAGAGCATGAGGCGGTGAAGCATTGGGGAGAGCATATGGGGCAGGAGAGGAGAACGGGGGAAGGAGTTGACACGGATGAGAGAAACACAAATGCAGTGGGACAAGAGGGAAAAGCAGGGCATGAGGCGCAGCAGAGGAGTGAAACCATGAGAGAAACACAAATGCAGTGGGACAAGAGGGAAAAGCAGGGCATGAGGCGCAGCAGAGGAGTGAAACCATGAGAGAAACACAGAAGGGGCGCAGGTGGGGCGCATGGGAGGGGGCAGACCAGAAGATGAGGAAGGCGAAGGCGGCAAGGAAGACGACGTAGCCGGAGAGGCGGCGAGGCAGGGCGAGCATGGCCGCGTAGCAGGCGAGGGTGACGCCCCATATGGCCGCACTCGCTGCTCGCTTGGCGATGATGAGGGGGTTGGGAGGAGAGGGAGATACGGGAAGTGAGGTGAGCGTGGAGGCAGGGCGAGCATGAGCGCATAGCAGGCGAGGTTGACCGTTGAGCCCCCAGATGGCCGCACTCGCTGCTCGCATGCATGCAATGACGATGGAGGCATTGCTCATCGGATGAATGGGGTGGAGGAATGGGGGAATGGGGTGAGAGGGGGTTATGGGAGGATAGAGTGGTCGTTACTGAGCTGAGAGCCACCCGCCGTTCAACACACTCGCATGCCTGCAAACCGCACTTGCCCACTCTCCCTTCTCCCCTTCGCACCTCCAACCCCACACCCAGCCCTCCACATCTGCCCAAAGCCACCCATCCTCTTCCCTATTTCCCGCCCTCCTCCCTCTTTCCATCCCCTTCTCAACCCTTTCCTCACCAATTCTTCAACTCTTCCTCTCACGTCATCTCCCCTACCTTCCTTTCTCCTCTCCCCTCCGTTGCCATCATACCCCATTCACACAACCGCGGTCCCTCCGACCACTTCCTCCCCTTTACCCCTCCGCGGACCGCCACCCCCCCTGCTTCACTCTCCCCCTCCTCCCCCCTTCCCCCTTCCCCTCTCCCCCCACCACGCGCACCTCTCAGTCCGCCGTACGCGAACCAGCACGTGGCAGCGCCGACGACGACATTGTACACGTGGCGGGTGGAGGGGGAGGGGAGGAGCGGCACGAGCGCAGCGGCGGGGATGGAGGAGAGGAGGCAGGCGAGGAAGGTGAGTAGCGGCCGCGACACGCCGAACAGCGTCGCAGGGGAGTCGTCTGCGACCATCACGTGCGACCGAAGCGGTCGCACTATGTGTGCTACGTGCAGACGGATGTGCACAGGGAAGGACGAGGCGACGGCGTGCGAAGGTCGTGCGACGGCGTGCGCAGATCGTCGCAAGGATGGGGCCACAGTGGCCACGCGCGAGGAATTGAGACCCGTGGCTGCGGCGCTGCGGGCGCCGAGTGGTAAAATCAGAGTATCATGTGCTGTCACGTGTGCTGTGGCTGTGGATTCAGGTCAATTCGGCAACACGGGTCACGACCCACGAGCAAATACCCTTTTTAGCGCCAACACCTGACGTGCACTTGGTCTGGAAAGTGTAAGCTGAGTATGATTTATCAATCTGGTTTTTATCACCGCTAGACCATTTAAATTGAACGAAAAATGAATCATCATCACCATTATTATAATATATTTAGTTTTAAATTTATCTTGATGTTTTTGCAAATGGAAGAAGAAAGGATTTTTGAGACCATATATTTACTATAAATGAAAGATATGATAGTACGATAATGAAGAAAACTTTCTAGACGCACCAAAAGTGTAGTTCAATCCCTGTCGGGAGTCGCTTCTGGCTCTCCTGTCTCTTCCCGAGCCGCAAAATTATTGTGCCAGTTCCATTCCGGCGTGTGTCGCGGCAGGACAGCCCAACATTATTGCCCCTTTCCTTACCTTCCACCCCTCTCAGGAGAGTGGTTCAAAATTATTGCTGCTCTGCGCACCTCTCCCTTGTGGATGTTGCGTCAGGCACGGGGATTTAGGGATGCGCCTTTCCTCTTGGCAAACTCCAGACGGAATTATAGGAATGCGATCAGCCGCAGCAAACGAGCTCAATTAAACACCTGCTACGCTTTCCGACAAACTGATTCGTCCAGAGCTTGATTGGGCGCTTCGGGAACAAATCCATCCAGAGATACCACTCAAACAAAATTATTTGCCATGGCGCTAGAGGGTTCTCGTCCCTACTACGCGCTGAAACAAGGTGTCGCCCTCAGATCTCGCGAGGCGAAAGGTCTGAACAGATCCTCGACGCGTGCGCATCGCGTTTCAGAGCGATTATTTGGCGAGTCGTCTGCGTGGTTGCAAGAGGAGGCTCAAGAGTCGTGCGGCTCGGGAAATTGCGAAGCGGCGCGAAAATATGATGCGACGCCAGGCTGCGACATCGGCGGGTGGGACGGCGACGAGGGGGAGAGCATGGGCGACAGTGTGGCGTGCGGCGGAAAGAGAGTCAGCGGCTGCCACGTGGCTGACCACGCGGTCTTGCGTAGAATTGACTCTCAGCGCAGCGATACGCCCTCGTTTTTACGACTACCGCCACTGGCCGAGCGGATTGCGCCCGGTCCGGTTTTCGGACCGCGTCCGCACCGCGCCGCGACGTGTTCTACGAGTGCGCTCCACTCGAGGGATGAAATCGACGGCGGAGATGAGGGACATGGCTGGCACATGCTAATCAACGGCGACAGTGAGGCCAAACTATCGCCAGGCGCTGCAGGCTGCGACAAGCCGTTCGTCTTCGCTGCGACGGACTGTGCGAACGCTACGACGCCAGTCGCAGCTATCCCTCAGCTCTCCGCGAGCGACGCAGGCGACGCGACGCCACGTACCGCGACTTACGGAAACTCCGGGTCGTGCCGATCGCCTGGAAATGACACGTGGCACGACGAGAACCTGCTATGGTCTCCATTCGGCGACTCCTTGATCATGCCGGGCGCTTCGTCGAGACTGTCGCCAACAGTGTCGCCGAGACTGTCGCCACGACTGTCGCTGGCGGCGTTGGACTCCATCGTTTTGGGGGACGAACTGTGGCGGAGCATTGAGCGGCTCGACGGGCGCGCCGACGGCGAAGAGGGATGCGACGACGAGGGGCGCGGCGCGCAAGAAGGGTGCGGTGCGGAGGAGGGTTGCGACTCTGGTAATGACGGCGCGACGCCGTGGGACGACGTGGTGAAGGACCTCTTTCCTGAGCTGCATGCCGCCGCCCATGATGCCGCCCATGATGCCGCCCCGCCACCGCCTCCGCCGCCGCCCACATCGGATATCGTGCTGCAGGTCCCGGCCATTTCGTCTCCCCCTGCGCCCCCCTCCCCTCGCTCCGGCCCCACCTCCCTCTTCGGCTCTCTTCCCACCGCTAGCATCGGGCCGCCCCCCTCCGCCTGCGCGCGCGCGGATTCCCCGTCACTGGATGCCGCGCAGCTGCCTTCCGCTGGCAGCGAGCCTATGATCGACGCGACGAGGCTCGTGCGCGGGGCGCCGCATACTGGGGGGGCAGCTCCGCCGCTCCTCTGCGCGCGGGCGCCTGACCGCCACGACCGCCGCGCTTGCGCGCTGCTCGCGCTGCCTGCCGCGTCTTCGCGCATCCCGCCTCCGGCATGCGCGCTGAAACGGCGGGCGGACGAGCTGAGAAGGGGCGAGGGCGCGCGGAGTGGCTTCGCCAAGACCCCGCCTGCCTCGAGAAGCTGCTGCGGCGCCGCTGATGGTCCTGATTGGCAGGACCCCGCCACGCGCACAGGAGGCGGGAGGGTGAGGCCTGGCCCGCCCTCGCCCCTCCTTCTCCCACCCCTCGCTCTTCCGCCTTCCTCTCCCCCAGTCCTCAGAACCCCCTCCTCCTCCTTTTCAGCCCTCACGCTCCCGACCCCCCTCGCACTCCCCACGCCATCCACGCCCTTCCCGTCTGACCGCGCGCCCCCTTCCGCCACTGCGCACCCCCCTCACCCCTCACCCGCGCATCTTCCCGCCAGCCCCTCACCTGCCCGCTGCCCTGCCACCTCCCGTTCCCGCCCCTGGCGCAATTACGGGGCGGCTGAGAGGCCAGGTGGCGGAGATTTTGGGGGAACGGCCGTGGGGGGAGGAGCGACCATGGGAAGAGGAGCAACCGTGGGGACAGGAGCTGCAGTGACAGGGAGAGCAGCAGTGGGCATTAGGAAAATTGTGGGCGCACACACAGTGGCGCTGGGATTGCGAGGAGTGGGCAAGGCAGACGCACCAGCATCTATGGAAATAACTGCACAGGCAGAAGCAGAGGGTGCAGCAGCGGTGGTGACCCCAGTAGCATCGGCAGCATTGGTGGGTGCAACAACCGCAAGAACACCTTCAGATGCACAAGCAGTGGCTGCAGAACGGGAGACGGCCGCAGCAGCAGCAGCACCTGGGGAAAGAGGAGGGTCAGCAGAGCTTGCCAGGGCAGCAGGCGGGGCAGGCAGCGCCGCAGGCGAGGGGTTGGCCGGGGCAAAGCGGCGGAAGGTGGGGGGTGGGGGACGCGTGTGTATGTCGGCGGAAGCAGCGGCAGCACTGGAGGAATACCGGGAGAAGGCGGCACAGCGGCAGCGGCGAGGCACTGCCATGGACGCCCAGAGCGTGGCTGCTAGACGCAGGAGGGCCAACATCAGCAGCAGAATGGGCGTGCTCAAGGTGTGCAACAATTGTTATCCATTGCGTGTGCGTGTGTCTTTAAGATGAGAGAGCGTGGTGTGGATTCTGTTCTGTCCCAACCAGTCACCGCTCTCCCATCACCTCACCTCTCTCCTTTGTTGCACCCTCACTTGGTCAGGTTTCTCCACCACCTACGACACGCCATACATTCCCATTCCTAACCCTTATCTCCCATCACTCCTCCCCTCTCCCCCTTCCCCCCCCTCCTCGGAATGCTTCCCACCAGTCGTTGGTGCCGGGCAGTGCAAGGCTGGACACGGCATCACTGCTGGAGCGAGCAGCAGCGTACATCGCCTTCCTGCACGACCACTCCCTGGCTGCGGGCGCCGGGCACGCTGACCAGCTGCAAGCACGCTTCACTGACGGGTTGGGTGCCGCGGATGAGGTGTTGGACGGCGGTGGCAGTGACGCCTGTGCTCATGCTGGTGGGGTTGGTGCTGGTGGGAGTGCTGCTGGTGCTGGGAATAGGGATGGAGGTGGTGGTGCAGATGATGCGGACTGCATGGACATCTGAAGACTCGCCTCACCGTGCGATGTGATATGATGTGATGTGATGTGATGCCACATGGCATGGCGCAGAAGCTGTGCATCCCATGCACATGGGTTGTGATGCCCATGCCCTGCACGTACATAGGAGTCCGAAACACTCTTAGGTAGCTCGTTCATGTGCTGACTGCTGCTGGTGTGTGCACACTCTAACACAGCCCCAAGAGCAGGCCCTCAGATTGGTTTGAGGGTATGCTGATGGATCAGCGTGCCCCGGCCAACGAGGTGTCCAAATCAGCGTTCACGGTTTTTTTTATACTGATTTTGCCAGTGTAAAAATCATAAGTAAACTGAACCAACAGTGTAATAACAAAAAACTATAGCTGAAACCCCAGTACAAGGTGTGTGGTGTTGTTGCTGTGATAGGTTCCAGCGAGGCTAAACACTTCGGCGCGCACCTGATATCTGTGTAGTGCATGCGAAAAAATGCCTAGTGTGTGGGTGGGGTCTCAGGAATCACGGGAAGGTACAGATTGTACATGCTTACCCTATCACCCCCCCCCACCACCCCCCCACACGCGATCAACTCCGTTTCAGTGTGACTCACGTCACTATACTGATTCGTCAGTGTTTCTTGTAAAGAAACATGCAAAATGGTCAGTGTGACAAGCTAGGATATACTGAAATTTCAGTGCAAAATTGAAGCATATGCTGAATTTTCAGGGAAAACGAAAATCACAGCTACAAAATCAGCGTAATCAGCGTGTTTTACGCTGATATCTGAGGGCCTGCCCAAGAGCCTTGATATGATAGCTGTCGAGCTGTGTGGAAATGTTATGCTGAAATCTAGGATGGCATGCAACATTGCATCCAGCATTGAGAGTACCACACCAATATTAATTACAATTAGCCTTTACACCTGCGCCCAAATCAAGCTTCGATACAGTCACACTTTCGGCAGCGAGCGTAGAGGCAGCCCCCGGTGGGAGAAGAGAAAGCGGCGGCGGCGGTGGCCCACCATCATGAGCAGCCCGCCCAGCAGCACCACCGCCACCACTGCTGCCGCCAGCGCTGCACTGCTTCCCATGCCCACCGCCCACATCACCTCATCACTACTCAACACCCCCCCTGCTGCCGCCGCTGCTGCTGCCTGCTGCCGTGAAGGCAGCACCAGAGACGGATCATCTGCCCCCCCTGCCCTGCCTCCCTGCCCTCCCCCCTTCCTCACTCCCTGCTTTTCCGTGGCGTCTCCTCTCTTGCTGCCCCAGTGCCAGGGTAGCCAGGCGGCGAGCCCCGAGGGGTGGGGGGGCGGTGGGGGCAAGGAGCGGGTTTGAAAGATGGAGGGGGCGTGGAGGGAGGGGGGGGAGGAGGTGCGGAGCAGGACGTGTAGCAGCGTGGGGCGGCCTGCGAGCACTGTGACGTTGGTGGTGTGGTTGACGTGCCCCGCGTGTGATATGGTCACTGGCACGTAGAGGGGGGCACGTGGAAGCAAGGGGGGACGGGCAGCGGCAGGGGAGTGGGAGTTAGAGACAAGAGGGAGGCATGCAGCGACGTGCCCTCAGTGGAGCGAAGTGAAAGAGAGGGCGGACGTAAAAGAGGCAAGGAAGGCAACATGGCATTGCTGTAACCCGAGAAGAACTCCAACGTAGCATAGGGATTGCACTTCACTGTAGACCTGGCACTGCCATCTCCCCCTTGCTCCGGCCTGGGCCTGATGGTGGGCGCTCCACTATCCATTCCCGCCCCACCCACCCACCATGCCCGCCCCACCCACCATGCCCGCCCCACCCACCATGCCCCACACACTTGTCCAGTTAGCCCCACCCGAAACCCAACTGCATTGGCAGCCCCCTTCCCCACCTGCGTCAGCCCCCCCCACCTGCGTCAGCCCCCCCCACCTGCGTCAGCCCCCCCCACCTGCGTCAGCCCCCCCCACCTGCGTCAGCCCCCCCCACCAGCATCAGCCCCCCCCACCTGTGTAGTTCCCTGGCGGCAGCAGGCGGTAAAAGTCCCCAAAGCGCTTTGATGCCATCACCTGGGGGCGATCGATGGGGGGAGATGGACGTCATAGCGGGGGGCGGATGGGGGGAGATGGATGTGTAGTGTTAGCCGGGGGATGGATGTGTGGGGGGAAGGGGATGAGTATAGGGGCATGGGCATGGGGAGGGGCATGGGGAAGGGTATGGGGAGAGGCATGGGGAAGGGTATGGGGAGAGGCATGGGGAAGGGTATGGGGAGGGGCATATGGAGGTGCCTGAGTTGGAAAGTGAAGTACACGATTTTTGTATAATACGCTAAAGAGAAATGGGGTGGGGATACACTGAATACGGAGGCTCAGGCAGGCTAAGAAAAGGAGTGGGATTCGGGTAAGGAGGGGGAGTGGGAGGGGTGCAAAGCAGCATGAATCCGCATTTGCAGATACGTTTCTCTTTTTTTTGCGCAAGCGTATTATACGAGAAAGGCTTATCTGCCAACGTAGGTTGAGGATTGGTAGAAGGCCAGTGAATGCAAGGATAGGTGGGGGAGAGACAGGAAGTGACAAATAAGTTGAGCAGAGCGCTGCTGTGACAGGGCTCTATGGATGTTCCGCTGATGCATGTGGCCAAAATCGTGATGCTGTCCTTGTTGGCCATGCACCCATGCAACCAAGCAACCTTGCACCCATGCACCCATGCACCCCCATGCCCCCATGCACCCCCATGCACCCCCATGCCCCCATGCACCCCCATGCACCCATGCAACCCCATGCGCCCATGAACCCATCCACCCATGCAGCATGCGGTGACGGCGACAGGAGTGCAGGAAGAGAGGGGCAGAGCGGCTGACCTGGATGTCAATCCCATGCACAGCGATGCTGGCAGGTAGGGGCGCCGAGGTGGCTGCAGACAGCACCGTGCCCTGCACGCCCATCTGCTCGCCGCCCTCCCCAATGTGGTGTGGTGTGGTGTGGTGTGGTGGACGGCAGTATGGTAGGCAGCATGAGGGGGCAGGCCGGGGCAGTGGCAGAAGAGGAGATGGGCATGCGGGCAGGCATCAAGACAGGGCAAGAAGAAAAGGGTGTTGGATGGAGGAAGGGACGTGTTGGAGGCATCTGGTGTCGCATGGCATCAAAGGGAAGTCATCATAGGGCTCGGATCTTAAGCCATGGCACCACATGGCATGGTGCATCACATGGCACCACTTGGCATGGTGCATCACATGGCACCACATGGTGCAGTGTGTCACATGGCATGGTGGAAAATGAAGTACTCGTGATGAGCGCTGGAAAGGGTGTTCACACTGCGCTCATAATGAGTGGCACACTGCACGTCATGGCATGACATCGTGGCATGACATGGCATGGCGGGCATGGCATGGTATGGTGGGCATGGCATGGCATGGCGGGCATGGCATGGTGCAGCATGGCGTGAAGAGCGCACCTTGGCAGTGGTGGTGAGGAGGGCGAGCAGGGCCGGTCGGTGCTCCTCCCACAGCTGAGGCAGCTGCTCACCACGTAGGGTTGTGGCACGGGGGGCAGAGCCGAGGGGGGCACAAGGAGAGATGTAGCAGACAACAGGAAAGGGGAAGCAGAGAGGAAAAGGTGAGAGGGGAAATTGAGAGGGGAAGGTGAGAGGTTAAGGTGAGTGAGAGGGGAAGATGGGAGGGGATGGTAGGGACGACGAAAATGGTGCGGAGAATGCAACAGAAAGAGCAATGAATGGGGGGGTGTGAGATGGAAGAAAGCAGGGAGAATGCGGGTAGGTGTGCATTGCAGAGGAAATGGGAATGCATCAGTGGCGCATCCCCCGTTCGTTCGCCACCACTGCGCGTGCGCCACTGTGCCCCACGTGCATTAGTCGCCTGTTGCTCAGATTCGTATTCCGCTCCCTGCCTCGGCCCCTGCGCTCTTTTCTAGTTGTCTTCTAACCTCAGTCTCCAAGCCGCGTTTTCGTTCCTAACGTGTTGTGCCAGTTCGCATTCGGTCTTGATGTAATTGTATGTCGACCAAAGCTTCGCCGTGGATTTGATTATGATATGAATGTTATTTGTTCGTTCCACAGCATTGTTCCCTCAACACTTGTTATCGTTTTGCGACGTATGTTGTTTATGCGTTCATATAGCATCCGATGAGTCTTCATTGACATATTGCCTTCATGTTTTTGGCGTCAGGGGGTCTGCTGCGCTTAAGAATCATTTGTCTTAGTGAGTTTCTCCCTCAACGTTTACCGTTCACCCATCGTGCACCCGCCACTGGGAGAAACTCACTGAGTGCGCAATGGGTGAATGGTAAACGTTGAGGGATAAACTTACTAAGACAAATGATTCTTAAGCGCAGCAGACCCCCTGACGCCAAAAGCACGGGGGAAAGATTCCAATGAATATTCCCCGAATGATGCATGGACGCGGAAACAACAGACGTCGCAAAACAAGTACAAACGCTGAGATAACTCTGTGAACGAACAAATAACATTCATAACATAATCAAAATCCAGGGCGAAGCTTCGGTCAACTTACAACTACATCAGAACCGATTGTAAAATGGCACGACACATTAAGATCGGAAACGCGGTTCGGAGACCGAGGTTAAAAGGAGTCTAGAAAGGAGCGCGAGGGCCGATGCAAGGAGCAGGATAAGAATATGAGCAGCAGGCGAGGCACGCACGTGGATGCAGTGGCGCATGCGCAGAGGCGGCGAACGAACGGGGAATGCGCCACTTATGGTATTAGCTGCATAGACTAGTGTTGTTTGGATAGAGATAAGCACCCAACCCTAGTTTGGGTATATCGCCAGGGTTCACCTTGGTTGTGGTTATCTTGACAAAAAAATCAAGGGTCCAAAGGATTGTTGTGTTGGGAGCTGATTGACGGCAAAGTGATAAGCTCAATATTCAGTAAGAGGGGCCTCCGTCGTCGACCAAGACAAGTGGGGAAACCAATTCTCAATATATATCTCACAAGGTGGTCGCAAGAGGGCGGGCACACAAGAACAGGGGCTTCCACAGCAAGGGGGCGGGTATACGAGGAAGGGCAAGGTCCCAAATGATTAATCTCACAAGAGCAGCGGCAAGAGGGTGGAGGCGGTAAGGGGCGTACGGGGAAGGGCGAGGGCGTACGAGGAAGGGCGAGGGCGTACGAGGAAGGGCGAGGGCATATGAGGAAGGGCGAGGGCGTACGAGGAAGGGCGAGGGCGTACGAGGAAGGGCGAGGGCGTACAAGGAAGGGCGAGGGCATACGAGGAAGGGCGAGGGCGTACGAGGAAGGGCGAGGGCGTACGAGGAAGGGCAAGGGCATGCGAGGAAGAGCGAGGGTATACGAGGAAGAGCGAGGGCGTACGAGGAAGGGCCTAGTGATCAATCTCACGACAGCAGAGCAGCAGCAAGTGTGCAGTGGGCATGGGGCATACGAGGAAGGGCAAGGGCAGACAAGGGCATCCTAGAACAACAGCAAGAGGGTGGGCGGGGCCAAGGGGCATACAAGGAAGGGCGAGGGCCACTTGGCGATGTGCAGCTCGAGGGTGATCTCCATGCAGCGCGCCTCGACGTAGTTCCAGTCCTGCATGCCCCCGTACAGCGGATACCTGTGAGCATGGGCGGGTGCGTACACATGGCCGCATGGTCGGGACATGGCGGAGCATGGGGGAGGCATGGGGGAGGCATTGGGGAGGCATGGGGGAGGCATTGGGGAGGCATGGAGGAGGCATGGCGGAGGGATGGGGGAGGCATAGGGGAGGGAGGCATGGGGTAGGTGTGGGTGGGCATGGGCGAGGCATGGAGGAGGCTTTGGGCAAGGCATGGGGGAGGGAGCGATGGGGTAGGTGTGGGGGGACATGGGAGGAGGAAAGGAGACAAGAGGTGGCACCATTCAGCAATCTTTCCCAGGCCCCCATCCACAATTGCACTCAACTCCGCCCAACCCCCACCGCCCTCTTCACCAACCCCACCCTCTCCCTCTCCCTCTCCCTCTCCTGCCCTCTTCCCCCCCAACCCTCTCCCCTCCTTTCTCCTCCCCCACCCCCAGCCACTCCCCCCTGGGCGCGGTACCAGGAGGCGCCGTTGGTGATGCCGCCGGGGAAGTCACGCGAGAGCGCCATGGAGGGGTGGCTGGCGGCATAGGTGGCTGCCCCCTCTCCTCACGCACCCCCCCATCCCCACCCACCCTCCCCCTACCACACCAACCCTCTTCTCCCCCCTCTCTGCTGCCCACCAGGAGGCGCCGTTGGTGATGCCGCCGGGGAAGTCACGCGAGAGCGCCATGGAGGGGTGGGCGGTGGCGTAGGTGGTGGCCATCAGACGGAATGTGGCGTCGTCTGGCGATGCAGCGTAGTGCGTGCTGCTCTGGTGGCACGGGGGCGAGGGGGTTTGGCGGGAGGGGGTTGTTGGGGGTGAGGGAAGAGGATGGGGGAGTTGGAATGGGAGAGATGGGTTTATGGGATGAAGATGAGAAGTGGAGAGATGGGTTTGTGGGATGAAGATGAGAAGTGGAGAGATGGGTTTATGGGATGAAGATGAGAAGTGGAGAGATGGGTTTATGGGATGAAGATGAGAAGTGGAGAGATGGGTTTGTGGGATGAAGATGAGAAGTGGAGAGATGGGTTTCTGGGATGAAGATGAGAAGTGGAGAGATGGGTTTGTGGGATGAAGATGAGAAGTGGAGAGATGGGTTTATGGGATGAAGATGAGAAGTGGAGAGATGGGTTTATGGGATGAAGATGAGAAGTGGAGAGATGGGTTTATGGGATGAAGATGAGAAGTGGAGAGATGGGTTTGTGGGATGAAGATGAGAAGTGGAGAGATGGGTTTGTGGGATGAAGATGAGAAGTGGAGAGATGGGTTTATGGGATGAAGATGAGAAGTGGAGAGATGGGTTTATGGGATGAAGATGAGAAGTGGAGAGATGGGTTCGTGGGATGAAGATGAGAAGTGGAGAGATGGGTTTATGGGATGAAGATGAGAAGTGGAGAGATGGGTTTATGGGATGAAGATGAGAAGTGGAGAGATGGGTTTATGGGATGAAGATGAGAAGTGGAGAGATGGGTTTATGGGATGAAGATGAGAAGTGGAGAGATGGGTTTATGGGATGAAGATGAGAAGTGGAGAGATGGGTTTAAAGGATGAAGATGAGAAGTGGGAAGTTTTGTGGCTGAGTGGAGGGAGGGAGGGGAGTGTGGGGAGAAAAGGGGAGGGGGAGGCAGGATAAATCAATGACAGCCGAGGGAACAGGAAAACGGATGCAAGATAGGAAAGATGGAGGCACAGGGCGATGCATGGAGGCACAGGGCGATGCATGGAGGCACAGGGCGATGCATGGAGGCACAGGGCGATGCATGGAGGCACAGGGCGATGCATGGAGGCACAGGGCGATGCATGGAGGCACAGGGCGATGCATGGAGGCACAGGGCGATGCATGGAGGCACAGGGCGATGCATGGAGGCACAGGGCGATGCATGGAGGCACAGGGCGATGCATGGAGGCACAGGGCGATGCATGGCAGCACATGGTTGGGGTGGGCAAGGGCGGTACCCTTTGTCCTTAGTGCCGTCCCATGCATAGCTCGCCACCAGTGCTCCCTGTGTGGGGGACAGGGGGGACAAAGGGGAGTTGTAGATTGGGAACGATGAAAGGGGGAATCACAGGAGGCGGGAAGAGTGCACAAGTTGAACGGCGAGAGAAAGAGTAGGCGCAGCAGCAGCAGCAGCAGCAGCAGCAGGAGTTGGATAAAGCACGTGGGTCTCTCGAACGCACGCTCTAGTGCAGTGCAATGCACCTGAACCCCAAACTTCAGCTGTGGGGGTTGATCACGTACCAGCATGACATGGCAACTATCATCCCCTTCCCCCATCCCTAGCCCACCCCCTGCTGCACTCACCCCCTGCCCTCTCACCCCTCAACTCTCACCCTTCACCCTTCACCCCTCCCCTCATCCCCCTCTCCCCAACCCCCTCCACCCTCCCTCCCCCCAACCCCCTCCCCAACCCCCTCTCCCAACCAACCCCCCCTTCCGCCCCCCCGCCCCCCCCCCCCCCCCCCCCCCCCCCTCTCCCCCTCACCCCGTGCAGGCTAGCAGAGGCGCTGAAGTGGTGGCGCTGTGTCCACCGCATCACGGCGCGCACCTCCGCCTGCCGCCCCGCCTCCTCCGCATTCATCTCCGCGAACCACTGCCTTGGGGGGCGCCCCCACAGGAGAGAAGCGGGATAGAAGGGGTGGGAAGAGGTGGGGGGCAGAGAGAGGGGGAGAAGTATGGGGGAAAGAGAGAAGGGGGGAGAACGGGAAGCTCAAGGTCCAGATCTAGGCCTGATGGTCCAGTCCAGTGTCAAGCATCTAAATAGTGCGTGCGGATGCTGGACGCTGGACCATCAAGAGCACGGGAACAGCCCAACGGAAACATAAATAGCGTGACGCGAAACCACAATTCGCGAAAACGGGATCGAGAGAGAGAGGAATGGGAAGGGGCGGATGCAGCGAGGCATGGGGAGGGGCGGGTGCAGCGAGGCATGGGGAGGGGCGGGTGCAGCGAGGCATGGGGAGGGGCGGGTGCAGCGAGGCATGGGTAGGAGGCGCACTGACATGGTCAGGGAAGGCGCGGTTGAGGTCGACTCGGTTGGCGTTCTCCCTGGTGTGCAGCGTGAAGCCATCGGGGTTCATGGCCGGCAGTAGATGCAGCTCCACCCCCTCCACCACCTCCCTCGCCTGCTTTGCTCCTTGCCATGCCACCGCATCACACCACAGCACACCGCAGCACACCGCCGCACACCCACCAAGCAGAACACAGCAGAGCACAGCACAGCCACCGCGCCACATGCACCATGCCACAACGGAAAACTCACCACACGCCACAACTACACCACCACACAAAGCACACCCACCACACACACTACTTCCACACTCCACTCCCTTTCCCAACCCATTCCAGACGTTCCAATCCTTCTCACGTTGACCATTCCAGCATGTTTCGTGTTCATGCCCATGCACGTCACATCTGCTCCCCCCCCCCCCCTCCACCTCATCCCACTCATTCCCACCAGCCCGCACCACACAGCACACAAGCATGCGACACACAATCGCGGAGTTGCCCAAACACAGTGTTGCCCAAACACGGTGTTGCCCAAACACAGTGTTGCCCAAACACGGTGTTGCCCAAACACGGTGTTGCCCAAACACGGTGTTGCCCAAACACGGTGTTGCCCAAACACGGTGTTGCCCAACACGGTGTTGCCCAAACACGGTGTTGCCCAAACACGGTGTTGCCCTGGCATACAGCCAGGCAACACCAGTTCATGTCCACCACTCGTGCACACATGCATGCATGCATGCACGTGCACATGCACATACAGAAACATATGCACATGCACATGCAGAAACACATGACCGCAAACGCACATACGCACAAGAATTAATTGCTTCGCATCAGTCTCACAGGATAATGTTGTTGTTTCTCGAAATAATAAAGCCAACCAATAGCTGACATCAAAGATGGGAAGGAAGGATACTGGGGGAAAGTCATGGCACGGCAGCTTGAGGCCATTCGCACTCACAAGGGGGCGCAATCACAAGGAGTTGCACTCACAAGGGGGTGCACTGCACTCACAAGGGGGTGCGAAGGATAGTTGTTGCACAGCCAGTCCGCGAGGTACAGCAAAAGCTGCCGCCCCAGCGGCTCGTCCCCATGCACGCCGCCTATGTACTGCGGGGACGGAGGGAGCGAGGGAGCGAGGGAGGGAAGGGTGGGGACGGAAGTCAGGACCATTGGCGCACAAGGCATGCGCACACATCAACTGGGAGGGACGGGCCGGCCCAGATCAACGCAACCTCGGTGGGGTGGGCAGAGGAACTGGCGCAATGGAAGATTTGCTCGACTGAAACTGAGATGTTCTTTTCATATACGAGGGCACATAACAACTGGCTGGAACAAACACAACACAGATGTCAGCTTTCATTCATATCTGTAGCGACAATTCACAATCCCGCATTTTGGTGTGAAAGCTCGCGACAAGAAGAAAAGCAAGGGCACCTTGAATGTGAAGCGAGGGCGCTTTTCAGTTGGGTTCAAAGTAATGAGCAGCACCCACTGGCACACACACAGCAGACACAGGGGTGGTGATGGGCGCACAGGGGTGATGATGGGCGCACAGGGGTGATGATGGGCGCACAGGGGTGATGGTCACATACGAATGGAAGGTGGAGGCAAGAGGAATGCGCAGCGGTTGGGTGGGGAGGGGGGGAAGCGAGATGACACGGTACAAGAACAAAATGGCGGGCAGCAAGGATGGGAGAATGCGGGGATGTGTTGACTCTGAATCGCATGTCACGCATCAAAGCAGTCGGCTTTCTGGCGTTCCAGGCCAAAGCTGGATGATTAACTCTCTCCTTGATACCACCAGCACACAAGGGACATGTACAACACAACACGCATGCGCCCACTATGTGGGCCCCATCCCATCTAATCCCTTCACTTCCACTCACATACATCATTCTCCCACCCTCCCTTAACCCCCACTCCTCCCCTTCACTCCCACTCCCACTCCCGCCTTCCACTCTCCCAACTTTCAGCTCACCAGAGGCACGCCCAGCACACTGCGGCCGATGCTGCAGGGGGGAATGAATCGAACAACATGGAGATGTGACGCAGGAAGGGTGGAGGCACGAAGAAACGAAATCAGAGGAGAAGAGTGAAAGCAGCAAAGACGAGTGAAAGCAGCAAAGACGAGTGAAAGCAGCAAAGACGAGTGAAAGCAGCAAAGACGAGTGAAAGCAGCAAAGAAGAGTGCTCTAGGTCTGGAAGCGACGAGAGAAGGAACCAAGAGAGTTGAGTGCAGGGCGGGTGGCAGCAATAAGCCGTCCACATTGTGACAGTTGACTAGTGCATTCGCCTAGAGGCGTGCCATGTGGCTGCATCACCCACCTATAGAGGCGTGCCATGTGGCTGCATCTCCCACCTATAGAGGCGTGCCATGTGGCTGCATCTCCCACCAATAGAGGCGTGCCATGTGGCTGCATCTCCCACCTATAGAGGCGTGCCATGTGGCTGCATCTCCCACCTATAGAGGCGTGCCATGTGGCTGCATCGGTCCACATAGGCCCTGAGGAACGCCTCTAGCTCACTGTTGTCTAGATACCACCGCTGCACCTCCGCACCCCCCCCTTGCTGCTGCTGTTGCTGCTGTTGATTCTGCTGCTGTGGAACAGACGACCTGTGGGTTCCCAACCACAACCCGAATGGCATGAATGATGACGACACATGGACGGCTTGGTGTCGGATGGGATGCAGTTTGTTTGGATGGGATGCAGTGTGTTCGGATGGGATGCAGTGTGTTCGGATGGGATGCAGTGTGTTCGGATGGGATGCAGTGTGTTCGGATGGGATGCAGTGTGTTCGGATGGGATGCAGTGTGTTCGGATGGGATGCAGTGTGTGTTCGGATGGGATGCAGTGTGTTCGGATGAGATGCAGGGTGTTCGGATGGGATGCAGTGTGTTCGGATGGGATCCAGTGTGTTCGGATGGGATGCAGTGTGTTCGGATGGGATGCAGTGTGTTCGGATGGGATGCAGTGTGTTCGGATGGGATGCAGTGTGTTCGGATGGGATGCAGTGTGTTCGGATGGGATGCAGTGTGTTCGGATGGGATGCAGTGTGTTCGGATGGGATGCAGTGTGTTCGGATGGGATGCAGTGTGTTCGGATGGGATGCAGTGTGTGTTCGGATGGGATGCAGTGTGTTCGGATGGGATGCAGGGTGTTCGGATGGGATGCAGTGTGTTCGGATGGGATCCAGTGTGTTCGGATGGGATGCAGTGTGTTCGGATGGGATGCAGTGTGTTCGGATGGGATGCAGTGTGTTCGGATGGGATGCAGTGTGTTCGGATGGGATGCAGTGTGTTCGGATGGGATGCAGTGTGTGTTCGGATGGGATGCAGTGTGTTCGGATGGGATGCAGGGTGTTCGGATGGGATGCAGTGTGATCGGATGGGATCCAGTGTGTTCGGATGGGATGCAGTGTGTTCGGATGGGATGCAGTGTGTTCGGATGGGATGCAGTGTGTTCGGATGGGATGCAGTGTGTTCGGATGGGATGCAGTGTGTTCGGATGGGATGCAGTGTGTTCGGATGGGATGCAGTGTGTTCGGATGGGATGCAGTGTGTTCGGATGGGATGCAGTGTGTTCGGATGGGATGCAGTGTGTTCGGATGGGATGCAGTGTGTTCGGATGGGATGCAGTGTGTTCGGATGGGATGCAGTGTGTTCGGATGGGATGCAGGGTGTTCGGATGGGATGCAGTGTGTTCGGATGGGATCCAGTGTGTTCGGATGGGATGCAGTGTGTTCGGATGGGATGCAGTGTGTTCGGATGGGATGCAGTGTGTTCGGATGGGATGCAGTGTGTTCGGATGGGATGCAGTGTGTTCGGATGGGATGGGTTAAATGAGGAATATGGAAAGACGAGATGAGACAATTCGAGGCTTTAACAGAGAGAAGCAGCAAGGCAGGAAGCAAGGGAGAAATTGACAATATGGAGAAAAAAAGGAGGGGGGAGGGGAGAGGGGGGAGAGGGGAGTGGGGAGGGGGGAGTGGGGAGGGAAGGAGCGAGGGGAGGATGGGGAAGTAAAGTGCTAGAGTGGGCGAAGGGAGGGATAGAGGAAGGGAAAAGTATGCAGGTGTGGAGAGAGCAAGGAGAAGCGTTGCACGACAACGAAAGGGGCAAGAGAAGCGTTGCACGACAACGAAAGGGGCAAGAGAAGCGTTGCACGACAACGAAAGGGGCAAGAGAAGCGTTGCACAACAACGAAAAGGGCAAGAGAAGGGTTACATGACAACGAAAGGGGCAAGAGAAGGGTTACATGACAACGAAAGGGGCAAGAGAAGGGTTACACGACAATGAAAGAGGCGGGGGCATCTGGAGGCGAGGTGCAGAGGAAGCACCAACCATGGGAGGGGGGTGGTGGTGGCGGCTCCGTTAAGAGGCGTCTGCTGCATCCCTGCAGGGGTGGGCCATACACGGGGCAGAAGGGGACAGACGAAGACGGAGATACAGACTTGGCGAGGCAGGGCTGACGGACGGAGGACGGAGGCGTGGCATGGAGTCGAGCCGACTGACAGCCGCCAATTTTCCCCTCGCCTCGCAGTCCCCGCGCTACCCTTCGCTACCCCGCGCTACGCCTCGCCACCTCGCCGGCCTTACCTGTCCCTGCTGCGCCGTGCTGCTGAGCATGCACGCATTCCCAGCGGCCCCGCGCCGCCAGGAGCACCACGCCCAGCAACAGACGCAGCGCGCGATGAAATCGACTCCCGTGCGCCACGCTCGCGGAGGGTACTTGCAGCGGCGGGAAAATCAACCCCATGATTGCTATCCGCGCAGATGAACGAGGCCGCTGGTCGCGGGGAGATCAAGCGCGTGAGCGCCAGAGAGGCGTCGCTTGCGCAACAGGCATTGCGCAGCCCTGCACGATCGCCGGTGCGCCAACACACCAGTCGCAGCTCCACCTGTGGCCCTCCACGGTGATACTGCGATCGCGACAGCTCGAATGCGGCAGCGCGGTGGCTATTCGACCATAAAGGACAGCACACCTGGATAGCGCGATGGTTATGTGACGAGTGCGACGAGCTGTGATGGTCGACTCGACCTGACAAGCAGGCTTACCACTCCTATGATCGGAACACCTAATCTGAAACTCAGCAGCTGCTTCGAACCCGTTGTTGGCTTTTCGC